CAAGGTTATGTGTTCGTGCTCTTCCCAATGCAGTACCATTAGACTTGCACTCCTGTTATGCATATTTCTTAAAAAAAACACCAAAAAACCCCCTAGAAGACAAACTGAGTAATTCATACAGTCATGTCTCAATATGACAATACTACAATTCCAGCTTGACAACCAGCACACCTACTGCATTCCCTGCACTTGTACCCGCTCCACACCCTGCACATAATCACCTTTGCAGATGGGGTCAAGCTCTGCTATCACTGTTCCTTTCCACTGCATTCCTGAGCTGTACTTCTACCTGGTGTTTAGGCTGGTATCATGTTATACTTATATTTGTAATGATTCAGGGCTATTTTAAGAAGACAACTTTCATTCAGGCGGCAAGCAAAATAGGTTTGTATCTTATTTCATATTAGAGGACATACTGCTTGCTATTCCAGGGTGTCTCATGGCCATTAATGATCTATGCCTCAAAGTACACTGCAGGTGCCAACAGCCATACCTTGATCCCTTCAAATGGCTTTGTCCCAGAAGCAATGTTAACAAACTTATTGCCTTGATACTAATTTTCCCAGAATGTATATGGAGCATGATAGGAATCTAAGCAGCAGTAGATCTCACAGAATTTATTACAGACTTTTTTCTACCAGTCTTCCTTTGAACTGCTAAGGTATTACCAGTCTAATTTTTCCTGATGCTCCCTGTAACCCCTGCCCCCCAGTAGGTTTACAATACAGGTTTAATTTTGTCTCACTTATTTACCTGACCTAATTAAATTTTAAGATTAAAAGAAAGTTAATGTAGAAACCTGAAGAGGAACAGAATTGTCCCTTTAGAGACAACAAGGTCTGACAGAAGACAGCTTTTATCTTGATAGTGACAAGACCATCACTGCAACAGAGGAATGAGACAGACAATAAATGAGCAGACAAGGACATGAGTAGAGACCCTGCAATTCTCTTGCCTTGTGGCACACACCAACACAAGTTTCCTGTAAAAACAATTTAAAAAGTGAATTTTTTGTGTACATCAAATACTTCATGTGAACTACAATTAAAGCGAGGATTTTGTCTATCAGGACCAAACTGGCCTTAGGTCTGTAACGAAAGAGAAGTACATGCAACTATCTATGTGAAGATAGAACAGCCAGTCTGAACCTGCTGAAGTCTCAAGAACAGGGGATAATAAAAACAAGGTGTAATAAGTGAAATTTTGAGAGACCAGCACAGCTGAGAGAGACAGCACATCTGCTCCTGCAGATGCTGGAGGTGGGGCCGCTCGCTATGATTGTACCAGCATAGTGCCACTGGAGATTATGCCAATATATTTTCAAGAAATAGCCTAAATGGAAAAGGGAAGCTGAGAAAGCACTTGAGCCAGGCTGCCCAAGGCTGGCTGCTTCTGGGCAACAGGAAAACTTCTGCCTCTGAAACAGCTTGAATAGGAAGTTTAGATCTTAAATTTACTCTGATCTGTCTCCTGAATAGCACCTAGGCTTAGCAACTTTATTAATAGCACCAAGCTGGAAGAAACATTCAGCTGATGATTGTAGCAATGGCTGCAGCTTCTCCTAAAAAGACAGTCCTTTTTTTGTTGTTGGTTTGGTTTTGTTGTTGGGGTTTTTTTGTAGTGATGTTTGTTTTTTAATTTGAGGTACACGAAGAATAGGAGACAGAGATCAGAAAAGGCAAGGTTACAGGGAGAAATCATTATCAAATAGAACAGGAGACAGAATAAGAAACATGAAACCAAGAAACAGAAAGATGTGCTAAAGTTCAAAGGGATGAAATGATACATAGTTCTGCCAGCTGCAGTGAAGATAAGGGGAACTGAGGAGAAAGACACTTCATTAGCAGAAAACACTCATTAAACATACCAAGTGGAAAAGTTTCCATGTTATGGATAGTTCAGAACAGATTGGAAATTGTGAAAACAGACACCCTGATTGTTCTGGGGTCTCCCAAAGATTAATGGGTCCTCTGTCCTTCTGTCTGAGGCCTGTCTGCCGAAATGTCTTGTGACAAAAGGTCATACTCCATGCGCTCCCTTTAGGAAATTGCACTAATGAGTGTAGAACCTGCTTTCATATGTAAATGTTCAGTGGTTTACTGCTTATGCTGGATTGTTTTTGCTTGCCACTGCAACATATTTAAAAATGGAACTTCTGAAAAATTAAAACAATGAAATAATGACTGTAAATTATCACATCTGCTACCAATATGAATATGCTTCAATATCTAGAACAGCAGAGAAAGTAGTTTGCTATACATTCTGCTTTCCAAAGGCTTGAATTTGACTTGTATTTGCTTAACTTCATTCACCTACAGAATTCAACCACACTTCTTGAGTTCCCCCAGCCCCGCCCCTCCAGTTACAAAGGATGTTCATCAATAGGTGTGCCCCCTATTTGTACCCAGTCCAGAGAGGAGCAAGTAGATGGAGAGGCTTTGCTCCCAATAACACAATTTCAGCTCTCCTTGATAAATCTCTCTGGTCCAGCTCCCCTTTAATGCTGTGTATTTCAAAAAAGCAGTAAAACCCCCCTTTCTTCCACATAGGTATTTGGCAAGCACTGTTTAAGTACCTTCTGAGTGACATCATTCCATATCACTGTGACTGCAGATGGAAAACACAGAGGAAGATGATCAGTGAAGACCTTTACTTTCTTTTGATCCAAGTTTACTCCACTTCAGTAGCTCATCTGAATCTTTCAAGCAATTTTTTTCTAACCAGCCCTGCACTGTGAGTCATGACTGTGGTGATCCCTGGAAGTCCAAGCACAGCTCCTGTGTCTCTGAGCCATGCTGGTTCACAGCTGTGCAAACTGAGTCACCTTATTTTCCTTTGTCTAACTGAAAAGAAGCAACATGTTGTAAGAGAGGATAAACTACAAACCACTCAATGGGATGTGCACCTACAGAACCCAGCAAAGGTACACAGCAGGCAAACGCTGTTTTTGTCCCTGCTCCAGTACCTGCATTGATGCAGAAGGAGAGACGCCAACAATGTCACAAGGTCAGCACTAAAAATCACTGTGTTTGTTCAACATGGAGTGGGGGACAGAGAGCAGAGTACAGCAGGAAAAACTTCCTGCAGTGAATCCCAAAGTTGCATTTTGGTAACACTTGCCTGAATGAAGAATGCCATTGACAAACATTATATATGGCTTTCCTTCTCCTTTTCCTTCTTCTACTGAGTCTACAGCTACAATAGTGAAGCTCTGTGATATCAGACTCTCGTTCTTCAAACAGTGTTTCTTATTTAGTAAAGCCATTGATTCAAGTTAAACTTGCAATCAAAAAAAGGCAAGTGGAAAACAAGTACAACCATTTTTGCATAAGATTTCAGTAAGATTTTACATGTACATTGAAATGGATTGTCTATAAAAATTTCCCAATCTGTTCCTGCATGCAATCCTGCAGTTAGAGGTGGTCCCCAGAGGCTGTCTCAAGCTTCTTCTCCTTGCACAGCTGCTAATTCTGTGAGAACTGTGTTTCAGTTGTAGTAAAATATATGCACAGTAAAATATATAATGCACACCAAACTTGTCAGGGATGAAGCTTTTTAGTGTGAAAAGACTGGGAGAACAAGGAACATAGGAGTGGGAATTCAGTGTTTTCCTTGCTATGGAAATGCAACAAGTGCCTGGTTCTTGCATTAATCACAGCAAACCCTTGTAACTTTGCTGCTGTGGGGATGAGTCTTATTAGTCAGGTATGGAAGGACAGATAAGGAAAACCTGTGAGTTTGCTTCCAAAATCCTTCTATATAAGGATCATGGGACTTCTAGACAGAAACAGGATCAGGGAAGCAAACATGCTTTTCAAAACTGCCTTCCTTCTGTGATCAGGGATTTGGCTAAACCCACAAGCTCTGAAATCCCAGCTACTCTCCAGGGCTCTGTCATCCACATGGGCTCAGCTGCCTGGTGGCTTCACACCTCAGAGCACCAAACACCTCAGGACACAAAAAGTTGCTCTTATTTGCTTCCAGGCTGCTCCCTCTTGCTAAGGTGCCCAAAATCTGCATGTCATTTGGCACATCACAAATGGCAGCACAAAAGCAGAGCTAACAGTCAGCAGCTGAAAACATGTAAAGTCAAGGATATACTGTCCAGATAGCACTAAAACCTACAATGAAATCCACACATTTGTTTTCTCAGTATCCTGATTAATGAGACAGTCCAGAAAGCTGGAGCATGTAAATAAGGATTTATAGTAAAGTCAGCAATCTCTGAGTTGCCATGTGAAAACCATAAATCAGATTTACTGGCACCTCTGCCTGTTGTATTTTTGACAAAAGCAGACCATGCCTGAGTAACAGTCTATCATGCCCAAAACAGAACCAGGCTAACAATATTAATTTCAATGACTACTGTACCATTACCACTTCATTTCTAGAGAGCCCTGCAACTTATTTAGGCAAATTTTGACACTACCTTTCATTATCCATAACTCAAAAGACAAATTAATATAATAAGTCTTAGTCTCCAAACTTGTTTTAAGGACAAAACTCTGAAACAAAACAAAACATGCAGCACGGAGAGGTTTAGGTATTTTCATAAATTGAAAGACTAAGAGTCTGCTAAGAGTCTGACAGCAGTCATTCACACCAGTTTTTCAATACACATTTCAATCACTGCCTCTAGTGACTTGAAACAAACTTTGTGATTTTGATATTTTCTCCCTAAAAAGGCTCTCTCGGAGTTGCAACCAAGTGTTGCAACACACAAGAAGTGCAACCTTCTACCTTCTGTTTATAACCTTCCTTAGAGCCAGTCATTTATCAGAGTTGTGAGCAATGACTATTAAATATGTGCATAGGCCATGTGCAAAAAAAAAAATTAAAAAAAATCAAAAGCCCTTCCCAGTGCCTTCCCCTTGCAGAGCCTTCTATAAAATCAGTGAAGAATTCTACCCTCTGCTTCACACAGTGGTAAATAACCAGGCAGGAAGCAAAAGATTAGGCCTGAGATGTACAGAAAAGACAGATATCGTTTAAAATCTTACCTTCTGCACGTTGGGTTTGATGCACCGAACAAAGAAAGGGTTTGAAGAACTCAGTGTTGCCATTAAAGAATGAAGGGATTCCTGGAACACAGGCAGAGAGAAGACAGTACTTCACAAGCTGGATTTTTGTACAAGCAACATAACCCCGGACAAGAGTCCTGCAGCTCAGCACTGCAGACAGCATCTAACTGCAACACCTAGTGGTGCACATCAGAAGTTACTGCACCGTGGAAGCTCTTGCTTCCAAACAGACAGGGACAATAGGTGTGTGTGCATTTCTTCCACTGGCTCTTCTGATCACTGGCATCACCATTTTACAATGAACAAGATTCACAGATTGATTTGAAGAAAACTGTTCATAAGGAAACACCAAATTGTTGTTTCAGGGATCTTTCAAATGACTGCTTAAGACTTAGGATCCACATTCCCAAGCAGATAAACTTGAGCAAGTTAAAGGGAAGGATAAAGGGTCTTTGGCAAAATCCACCAACTCAGATTTCCTCTTTTTATTTCAACCACCCCAAATCCACTCATTTTCCATCTTCCCTGAAGAAAACAGGTTTTTTACTAGCTTTGGAACTCTGAATGATCCAGTGCACATTAGATTATCAGTTGTCTGAACCTCAGCCTGGAGATAAAAATCACAAATCCCTCAGTCCTTTTATGATTATTACTTTAATTACACATCCACCCCTTTCCTGCCTGAGCCATCATTCCATATCTTATTCCAACTTGCCTCATTCTGTATCATTAAGTATGATGAACCTTTATAAACTGAAGTCTGGCATTTACTTTGCAGAGATACAAATGATTGTACAGGAGAGGCGCTCAGGCTCCGAAGAGCCCACAAAGTTAGCAATGGTAAAGTTCCACCCCTCAAAGGTGGCACTTTGTGCCAGGCAGCAGAGAGAATACAGAGCAGGCTGCCAAGGAGGCAGAAAGTGCACATTTTAAAGGAGCAACACTGTGTGTCATGCCATATGTCTTGGAGCAAAACTGTCAGTGTCAGTCTGTTAAAAAAAATTCTTGTTTTAATCTGCAGACCAAGCACTTACTTGGTGATTGAACATGCAGTGATAAAGGCAGCAGGCAGAGTTATGGCTGTGCACGGGAGCTGGTCTAAGGCAAAGTGAGCAAACAGCAAAATAACTGGGAACATAAATGGTAGTTCTTGGTTTGCTTGCCTTTGCCAGCCTATGGACCAGGGAGTTGGGCAGCAAATATTAAACAGAACATACAAAGAAAAAAATCTTTGTGTAAAGACCAATATTTACAGCTTTGAAAAGTAAAGGCCACACTCATATTAAACCCGTGTGAACATTCCATCTGTGGACAATTCTCTCATCCTGGGAGATCTCCCACATAGAGATTGGAAAAGATGGTCAGTCTAAACAAAAATTATTTAAACTGTTTTCACTTTCACCTGTGGTTCAGCACAGTGCTGCAAGCCTCTAAGTTGCTGTTAGGTGATGAGCTAATCTAGAGCTTGCCCTGCTGTAGTCAAAGTCAACAGGCTGAAACAGATGGTATCTAAACTCTGCTATTCTGCATGCACCCCCAGGCCTGCATTAGGCAGGTCATCAAATGAAAAGAAGAGTCAACCAATTTATCATGAGAATAAAACTGTGAAGGCAAAATTCTTATCTTCAGCTGAAATAAGATGGAGTAATCCCTGTAAGGCTTTAAAACATGTGAAAAACACCTAATTCTAACCAACCTAATTCTATTCCAACCTAATTCTCTGGAGAAGGCATGGTGTGAAGGTCAACCTCTTTTAAAGTAGCCCAGCTGGTTAATGGTCAGTTACTGCAGAATTAGATAAGAGGCAATAATGTTTTGATTTCATGTTTTATCACCCTTATGTTCTCCAGGGCCCCTGGCGAATACTACACATTGTTCTGCCTTGTCAAATAGGTGAAAAAATATGGTCTGCTTTTGTAAGGTTAACATCTTAAAGGTCTACTTTGCACACATACAAATGACCAAGTGGAAACAGTACCTTCTGCTACCCCACAGAACCAGCAAGTAACACCATCTCATAACAAAAAATGGATACTTCTGAGATGAGTTATGGTAGCACAAAGCAAGCTGTCCCAAAAATACAACATCAGCTGTATTCAGTGTTTTTTAATAAAAGACACCGTGTGTGCCCCAGCATACATACACTCCTTGCTGTTCTGTCCAACACTTAGCAAAAGTTTATTAGGATAAAATCTGCCCTTAAGGGGTTTGAGTCTGCTCTTTTTTAAAAAAAAAGTGAATGAACTCTGCAAATGTATATTAATTCAAATAAAATGAAAGGCAACTAATCCAGACTTGTACTCACGCAATTTAGGAGATGTTTCATGCCAATCTTTCCCTTTTAAATAATTTGCAGATAGACTTTATGCTAGATTTCAATTTGGTGCCATTTTTGATGAGAGGCTATAAAGCCTCATAAAAAGGTGTTTAACAAAAATGCATTCCAAACTTTAGGTTAAAACAAGGCAACACCTTAATAAGGTATTTATTCAGCACTTATTTTTCTAAGCATATAGGCACTGCTGTAAGGCCTTGTGGAATTTTGTGGCTGGATTTAGATTATAAAGACAAACCAGGACAAGAGAGGCCAACTTCACAGATAAGCTTTAAAATAAGAATGAGCAAGTGGGGAATGCAACAGCAGTTTTGTGGGGATGGTGTGATGGGAAGGTCAGTGTCTACTTGAAGCTAGCCAGGACAGTCAATCGCTTAACTAGCAAGGGCAGTGTCATAGAAGAGGCAGCAATGTTTTCATCCTCAGGTTTTGCCTTTTTCAATCTGCACCTGTTCTTTATGGACCAGGGTCTGTCTATTATCTATCTATGTCTACTGATTAGCTACAGAGCAGAGATGACACATTAACTAACCTTGAACTGGAGACTGACAGTGGGTTTTCTGTGCTTGCTTCCACATTTCAGAGTGTCTTGATTGTTGCGACTCGAAACATGTTCAAATAGGTCATAGATGAAATCAAGACTGAAATGGAAAAGGAAAATAGTATTTCTATAGTATATCTTAACAGATTGTGAGGTTCACCACTGTAGAATGCAAAGAAAGCACTGTGTCTTAGCAAGAAGCTCCTCCATCAAAAATACACTTATTGATTTTCTCCACAATCCTTAACAAACAATAGATTTTGCCTTTGCAGAATTTATCCAGGGGAGAAAAAAGCAAAACAAAAAAACAAAACAAGGAGGTTCTTTCTTCTCCACTCCAAACACATCATTATGGAAAGGAAGTGTGAAGTCTTAGAGGCTTTACTGCATTTGACTCCACTCACTCAACCAAAACTCCAGCTGACTGCAACCGGAATTGTACCTAACAAAGACTAAAAAACAAGACTTCCAGCTTGGTTAGGGATGTAATACAAAACAGCCATTCATGCATGCCTCACTTTCAGATAACAACTGTGCATGCTGTTTTCTACCCTATTGGTTGAGTACTCTCCTTTTAGCATTTCTACAGAAACACATTTTAATTCAAGCTCCACACAAATGATGGTGCAAAACCAAAACCAGGCCCAGACAAGTTTATCTCATTTATTCTTTTCACCTAGATACTTTAACTGACAGATGTCATATCAGAAATGTCATTAAATCCAGAACAAATAACATAGAGGGGGAATTGCTTAATAACAGTTTCCCCAGCACAGAAGGGCTTATGGGATTCACGAACAAGCAACTTGCACAGCAAAGCAGGATGACTGGATGGGATAGGGGAGGGCAGCAGATGAGACAGCCAGGCTCAGCTCCCTCCTCTTGTGCTATTCCTCTGTGTGTCCTGGAGTCTCAACCAAACACTTAGGAAAAGGGATGTGGTACCACCACAGCTCACAGGGTACCACTATAAGGACTCTAAGACCTTACACAGCAGAATGACATGAGACATGCAGGTACCAGAGGCATCCAAGCTCAGACTTTCATTCAGATCAATCTTAACAGAATTTCTCCCTTTGAAGCAATTACTATACAGTAATTGCTTCAAAGGGAGAACTTCCATTGGATTTGCACTGTGGTAGTCTCTGACAGCAAGTTTCCAACCAATTAGGGAATGCCAGAAATACAAACATGAAGTAAAAAAACACATACGTGCTGCCTATAAAGCACTCTGAAACAGTCAAAAACTATGACCGCCTTCTAGCATCCTTACTCATTACAGAGCAGCAGGTTAGTTCTCTAGGAACCCCCTGGGCTGAACAGCAACAATAGTATAATGTAGGTAAAGCCAACTTTGTCAGAAGCGATTACAGGCAACTTACAGTCAGACCTGCTTACAGGCAACTCTGCTATGCTCATTTCTGTGATACGATATGCTCATTCATCTCTGTTTCATTCTATACTCATTTCAGGTCTGCTGCTATGCAACATCTAAATGCACTCAAACCCCAGCAGGATTAGCTGTTCAATCCTGGCAGAATTAGTTTATACTAATCAGTTAATAATTTTTTTTTGTCCTTTAAAAAGATTGCAGAAACTTACCTGCTTTCACGCAACAAGTTCAGGAGATCATCTCTAAAAGTATCTCTGTTCTTCTCCAAGATCCCCCTGACATCATACTGGACCTAGAAGGAAACAGAGCTGGTTTAAACAACAATCCAAACAGGCACCTCTCACAAGAGTGGTGCTGTAAAAAGTGCTGAGGGAACAGAGCGCTTTAGTTAATTTTGAGCAGCCTTGGGGGAAAATTAAGCTAATGAAAGTTCTGCTTGGAATAATTTCAGCAAATAAAGAAATTACCTCCCCAGCGTAGTGCTTCACTCCAAAGTTGTGAACAGCAACCCTTGGTTTTACATAAAAAGGATTGTTCTAATTGAATGGGGAAAAAAAAAGAGAAAAATATTTGGAGGGGGTTGTCACATTATCCTCTCAACCCATACCTAAACAGACCATTGTCTTCCAGTAAACTCCCTGCAAGATTAGTGCTCCAAAAGCAAACAAGCAACTCATGGTAATAGGATTTGTTAGTCTGGGCTGCTTCAAATGCAGTAATAACAGATTTATAGCACATAAAAAGGCATTATACTAAACCTGAACCCCATCTGGCAGAATCATCTACAAAAGGCACTTTGAAAGAGAAGGCTCTGTCTCAAACTGGCAGTTATGAAGATTGGTGGATATGCTTGCATCCCAGAAATTGTGTAAAATAATTCCAGAATCAGAAATAAAGGTAACACTAATTTGGACAGAGGAAACAGCAAACTTTCAGTAAATGACATGAAGGTGAATGCTTTATTACATCAAGGGAAATGGAAGATCAGAATAATCTGAGATACTGAAGGTTGACAGAGCTCTCATTAAGAGTAGAATTTGACTTGTTCATCACAACAGAAACCTTTAAGTCAACAGCAACAAGGATATGTTCTTACAGTAACCAACTCAGCCTTGACAGCAAAGTATACAGATTGCCATGGAAGTAGGATCACATCCAAAAAAAAGCCTCTAGAATTATGCACCCATATGTTTGAACCATGAATTTCTACCAAAGAAAATAGATTCTACATAATTTGCACAGCAAATATCAGCAAAACATCACATACAGCATGCTGGGCATTCAACTTCTCCAGTAAAGTGGAGTCAGTAGCTTGAGGAAAGTGGCTCTCCTCATTGATGAGTGCCAATAGTCCCAGTTTCTAGAACAGCAAGAGGCAGAAGATGAGTTAGTGCATGGATAGACAGCTGTTGTCCCCAGTTTGGAAAAATCACAAAGTCATTTAAAATTTTCTCTGTGCAGAGAGGCACAAAACCACTCATATACTACCAAAACCCCACTCTTGAAGGTGACTGCAATCCTGTTTTTCTGACAGAACTCCTTTTGAAATATAGAGCATACACTATCCGTGTGCAAAATAAAGAAAAACAACCTACTGGAAGAATCAGTTCTTCTGATGTGGGCAGTTTTTAGATACATACAATGACATTGCCCCAGAATACAACCCCAGCCTCCAAGATGTCAAATGATCATGAGTCCAAGGAGTTTGTGTAAAACAGCCTTACAAAAAAGTTTCTTCCATATAATTATCCACCCCAGCTGTTGAACCAATGCAAACTTTCAGCACTCACAGTGCCCAGGGGCAGAGCAAAAGATAGAGTTTAACTTCACCCTGCATGAAGCACAACCTCCCTTTCCTTTACATATGGCTCTGTGTAATTTCCTTTGATGTTTCCTACTTCTCATGCTAGAAGAGGTGGTAAACAAAGCAAGCTACCCCTCAGCTAATTAATGTGTCCAGCAAGCTCCAGGTTGATACAGCCTCTCAGAAAAACATGGTTCTCCAGGTGCACATCTTAATAAGCCACTGTCCAAGGTCTCAGAGCAGCTCCTGAAAAGCCACAGTGCCCTGACTGCAGTCACGTCCTGCCGGCTGGATCCCCTGCCCGCTGCCACTCGCTTCTGTGCTCGTCTGAACTCTGGCAGGCACACACCCTCCTGCCCTGGAGATAAGCTCACACAGCCTGCCTGTACTGATGGCAAGAGTGAGCAAGGATCACATGTTTCTTATTAATCATCTCCAAATATTGCTTTCGTGTATAATCATACAAGGAGAAAAGTTGCTGCAAGGAAAAGAGCTCATAGTATAATCCTTAACATAGCCACACAAAAAAATAATCTGATTAAAAGTTTTCTATTTAGACATGCAAGATCCACCATGCTGTTCACCTGTTCTTTTTGTTGACAAATCTTTTAAAGACATATTACCTCAGAATAAAAAACTAAAAAATAGGTAACAGTATCAAATTCTTTCTTACCTTTTCAATAAGATCCAAGCACTCTCCATTGTCTGTCCAGTCAATGTCCTCCCAAATTAGTCCTTCCCTAAGGAAAATAAAGCAGGCCTTTTTACTGAAATTATTTTAGTTCTAGAAATAGGAGAAGCTGCTGTATTTATCTTGAAAATTACAGCAAAATCAGCTTGCTTTTATAAAATACACAGCTGCAGACAGAGACTTTCAAAGGAAAGTAAGTTAGCTGTGAACTGACTTCAAGTGAATACGATATTGTAAAATTATTTCAAATTTCTCCCCTCTCTCTTACCTGCTGTATTCCAATTGCTCCAAGGAAAAGATGTGCTTGTTGAAATACTCCTGAAGCTTTTCATTTGCATAGTTAATATTAAACTGCTCAAAACGGTTTACCTAAAGAGACAAGACATTTTCAAAAATGCAAACACTTGAAATATTTTACTTTGCAAACAAGGGAATGGGTTAGGTAACAACGTGCTTAAAAATCAAGTTCCAGAGAAGATGACAAAAACATGTAAAAGCAATAAAGCACAAATATAAGACAATCCATTTGAATAAGCCTTTGAAACCTACCTCAAAATTTTCAAATCCAAATATGTCCAAAATTCCAATAGTCTTGAAGTCTTCCTTGCTCCTGATTCTGCTATTGATTTTCTTAATGACCCATGCAAAACACTGAGAATAAAGTGCCATTGCCATAGAATCTCTGCTGTCTATTGCCTGTGTTGAAGAGGGAATACACAAGACATCAACCACCCCGTGACAGAACTGACCAAACACTTCTGATCAGTGTCCTTAGCACAGCACAAAACAATGTATAATGCATAAAATATGCACAATGTACAATGCAAGCAGCTTCATGCCTATGTAGCTTGGCAGCAATTGTATTAACACTTACAAGGCATCATGATTCAAGCTTTAACAGTTTAACTTAAAACAGCTATACACCTATATGGCTTTAAAATTACATTTCAGGGCTAAAGCATTCAAAAAACTAGGAAATTATAAACTTCAAGTGTGGAGGAAGGAAAGAAGTGTAGGAAACAATACCTTAATTCCCCCCATTTTCCAGAGGGAAACATAATGTTATGCATACCTATTTCTAATTCTCTTCTTGTAAATTATAAATATATTTCTCCTGAAAATTTTGAAAAAACACCCCCCTGACACAAGTGTCCATAGTGAAAAAAATATCAGCCTATATGTTTAGAATTTGAAAAAAATGGGAAGTAATCAGGCTTCATAAGAATAACAAGAGACAAGCTATAAGCCCTGGCCAGAATAATAGAATGGGATCTAAAGAGATTATACCCTTCCCAAAAAAACTAGGTAGTACTTTTGATTACAAAATTCTGATGCATGAGCTAATTCTGTTCTTGAGTGATCAGTGATTTCTCTGGACTTGAAGACTAAGACATCTTTCAAAGACCCTAAAAATATGTCAAAATTGAGGTGCCTTTACCTGTTGTATACTAAGAGGTGTTAGGATTTCTTCTCCCCTGAGTATCATCGACCTCTGAGTCAATGCTTCTGTTAGCTGTGTGGAGTCCAAGCCCAGTAACTCAGCAGATCTACCCAGGGCTGGCAAAAGAGAAAGACAAATACAAATATGTCCTTAAATATATGAAACCAGGAGACCAATTCAGTTTTCTACCATCATTATTATTATTATTTCTACTACTACTACCACCACAATTTAAGATGCTCCTAAAATGACAGGGATTAGAGATGAAAACACAACTAGAAATTCAAGGATACTGTTTTGCTGCTCATTAAATGGCATAATTATTACAACTGAAGGAAATTAGCAGTAGAAATACATCACAAGTAAGTCACAAATATTTATTTTCCTCTTAATATTCACATGTCAAGAATTCAATCTACTGCTTGCCCTAACACATTTTTCCAGATACAAACAGTAATTGACTCTTTGTCCACATGAATGTAGATGTGAATGTTTCTGCTTTGCTTGGGATGATGAGGATAAACCAGTGAAATTTTTCTTCCATGCATACTTTAATTTTCAGTTTTTCTATAATGTGTTATATAAAGCAGTATATAATGCTACTCTCTAATGCCACATTTAAACAAACATTTAAAATGCCCATCAGCTCAATCTTTAGCTACACCAGCACATTCTTTCAGATATGTAATTGAAACATTGAAAGCTCTAAAAAAAGATACTTTCAGTGGAGTTCTTGGTTAGGGAATGTATTTGAGCACTTATGTTTTATCAGCTTGAGAATTCTTTGAAGAAGGAACTGGATTCAAATAAATTTCACTACTGCTAGTGGAACAAATATGTGCCCAAGATTTTCCCATATTAAGACTAGCATCCAGCAGCAGACTACTTTGCTTTATCTGTCAAACCTCATCCTCCCAAAGTAACATTTTAATAAACATTTACAGATGTTAAAAAGCAGTAAAACCCTTTCATTGCTTGTCCTTGCTATGTTGAGATATACTAACAATGAATAAGGCTTTCAGAACCCCAAGAAAAATTCAGGCTCGGAGGCAAAGCCTTCTCACCTGTTTTAAAGGACACCTGTGCCCCACCAGCAGTGATGAACTCAACATTTCCCAGATGCAAGATGCCAGCCAAAAGTCTCAGAACTTCTCGTACTTCCTCCCTGCTGAACTCCATCACTTCCATTGCAGTCTGGAATGACATGTGAGCTTCTTCCGTAATGTGCACACCGACTCAAAACTGGAAGGCCTTAGTAAAGCAACTCAGGACTAAAAGACTCGAGTCCATTCCTTTGGGTTTCATCCCAAACTGAATACACTCTAAGGCATCACTGGGACATCTTGAAACATGTAGCATCACTCTGCCCTTAAGAAATTTCATTTTGATACTGCAATGATGCCGTAATTTGCTTTCAAATTCATCATTAAAACTGTATAAATATTGGAACGACCCACTGAGTTGTGCACCAGATACAATTATTCTAATTTGAATTATTAATTGATTACCTCCTGCATGTTTTTACCAAAATTTTCCTATTGGCCTTGTAGGTAACAAGGCATGGGGGAGGAAACATAGCAGCATCTAAGATTTGATCATTTTTGTGCCCAAACATGCACCTTACCAGTGTGGTCTGACAACTTCCAGTAAAACTGAGTAAGAAAGGTATCTATATAAAAAGTGCTGAATTTATGAATAAACAATATGGCAACAATCAAGGCTCAACTACATAAACAAGGAGAAGACCAAATAGCAAATATTAAAAGAAACACTAAAACAAGAGGCACGTATGCTTCCCTTCAACACAGAAGGGGTAATTGTATACCTCTTGAAATGCTAGAACTTCCTAAATTCTGGTGTAATATGACCCTGTCTGATCTGAACCAGATCACAGTTTTGTATCCTTACAGTCAGACTCATCATGTTATAGTCACGGCAGGTGTTTGACAGAAGACACATTTTATCTTTCATAAGTCATCCCTTACAAATGGGAGAGCCTCAGACTCATCCCCCAATTCAAAGCAGGCTGGAAATAATGGTTGAAGGTTTAATTTGTAAAGAACTTTCACAGCAAAAGGCTGTAGGCAGCAGCACTACAAGTTCATCTCCATGCTCAATGTGCTGCCCCTCCCTGTCTCCTACAAATAAAGTTCCCCTTAAGTAACATTTCCAAGACTTACACTGCAGTAAAAGCAGGCAAAGGACATGACTTTGTCATGTAACGGGAAAAGACAGGTGAAGATGAGCTGAGGGGGTTTCTGCTCACTTCCTGCTCTGGGAATGCAGTCTGGCAGCCCCTTCTCCTAGCCTACCCATGCTGCAGGCAGCAGGCAAACATCCCTGCCCAGCTGATTTCATGGTCTGCCTATCCTGAGACAACTAGCATAAATTAAATGTCATGCTAATCAGCTTCAGCATGTGGCTATAATACAGGTAAATTACCAACGTTTCCAACGCTTCCTTCCGCCATGCAAAATGAGGGATTTTTACACAGCAAAAAATCTGCTGAATCCACTACACATTAGTTCATCAATTTGGAAAAAGATTAAGATAGCTAAGCAAGAACAGTTTGGTGAAGGGCATAAAGCCAAATGCTTTATCTGATTTTTAAAATCTAACACACATCACCTCAGTGCTACAATACTCAGTTAGCGTGGTCAGTATGGACTAACTGCTGTGGATGTAAGATATAAAGCCATTCAGAGAGATTCCATCTGGACCCATTTTTTTAATCTCTGCTTAAGTTTTCATAACTCTTTTGTGTAAGTTACTCCACACTACAAGTGGATTTCCCAGCTGCAACTTAAAGAGTCACAGGTGCTCTGCTCCCTGTGTGCTGTACTGCAGACTCCACCCAGTAGATGCCACATGTTTGGGCAAAGCTTTCAGACTGAAAAACAGTGAGACTTCCAAACAGATATTCTTTTTATTTCAAAACATTAAGCATTTTGCTAAATTACAGAACACTTTGAAACAAAAGAGTAAAAATTAAATACTGGGAGAAAGATAAAGGCATGCTCAAAATGACAGTGGAGCATTTTGAGAAAATTTAATTCCCTGTAAGATTAATGCCAAAATGAGAGAGCTGCACATGGAGGAAAGCACAGGAAGGCTTTGTACCCTGCTCTGTCAATGGGCCCCACACACCTGAACTTCCAGCAATTTTTAAGGCAAAAGAACAAGGGAAGCAACTCACAATGACTTCCTTGAAAGAATCTTTGTCACTGATTGTCTTATCCACTATACATCCAGACTGGTTCAGGTAGTGGTAGTTCTCAGGTACAGATAAGTAAAAAGCATCTAATGAGAGAAAAGAGGGTAAGTGAAAAGAAATACCTAAACAAAAGTACTCCACAAGTTACTATGTTGGAGTTAAACTGTTCACAATTAATTTGCTCAGAAATTATGATAATGCACAAGACAAGGTTTTATATTAAAATCAGACTGGGGGTTATTTTGCTGGCTTTTGTTTTATTTAGCTGCATAATAGAGTTAACTCTAGTTTTTACCATGCAAAGACAGCAGGCCCACAGGGAGATGCTGAGGCAATTTTAGGCAATTTTGCACATATACAATTGTCATTTCTTTTGTTCAGTGGATTTACTCTTTATGAGAAAGGATTAGAACAACCAGAATTATTTATCTTTGTTGCTGTGGAGTTCTTTAGTACCAGAAAAAATATTCAGTTTGAACACAATGAGGCATGCTTGTCCCCAAGTAATTTTCCCATGGCCACAGCAGAAGCAGGGAGGAACACTACCGTCAGCTCAGTGACATACTTCAGCTAAGTGTGTTCCTTTATCAAGTTGAGCTCAAATTCACACTCCTTGAATCACTGAATGAATAACCTATTTCTCAGCTTGGGTTAGTGGGTTTCTGCAGTTAAATTCTCCACTGCTGTCACCACTGCTGACTGCTAGCAGAAAACCACTACAGTTGTGTTACTTGTTCTTTGCCACTTACCTTTCTCTCTCTCTTCTATCCCTGCCAGCAGAGCATAGAATATATGATAATTTCTTTCCCCAGGGTTTTGTCTTACTACACGATTCTGTCAAAGTAAAAAATAGTTTCCACTTAAGTGATCATTTTTAAAGACGATTTTTTTATCCACAGTTTCAGACAAAAGTTAAATCAAACACAATTAACTGAGCAAAAGCAAACATCAACTTACTTTTTCCAATAAATCTGCAGCCAGCAAGAAAAGCTTCAGTCAAGGAATAAAGTAAAAATCAATTAATGAATCAGCTTTTGATAATCTTTCTTTTGTTTGAGGCAATAGGAAGATGATCATGGTCTTTTCTTACAAGCTAAGCCTGTTTCATACAATACACCTACAGTAACATAAACAAAGTAGCAATAATGATAATATTGTAGCAGTTCTAATATCACTGTATCAACACCTCTTCCATCCCATTTAAACTGGACTTGGCAGATTCTGCATTTTAAATGACGTCTGTTTTCTTTTGCTTTCTTCCCCCCAAAGCTTGGAAACAAGCTCAAGATTTTTTTTTTTTTCCACTGAAAAAGCAGTTTATGTTTAAAACAGCAGGTAGGATCCCCTTGGAATATACCTCATCCCCACACCTCTGGTGGAGCTGGATTATAGTCTGATTTTGTCAAATGCAGGACAAATCTGAGGATTTAGCCCACCAAGACTCACACTACAGAAATTGAGTACCTCTGCTCTTTCAAGTACTTTTCCAGAGAAGTAAGCAGCTTATCTTTGGATACACTAATGGAGGAAATGGCTGACAACTCAAGATGTTCCTGAGGACTCCCGAGGCTGTTTTAGCTCATTACATGGGAAATGCACACAAGCTATGTCACGCTAGCGGAAGCAATACAAAGTGCTTCTCCTCCAAGAGTACATGCACCCCACACTGCCACACATGCATGTGTGCATAGATTTGGTGCTGCTGCTTCCCCTTCCCACCTACATCAGCCCAGTTTAACTGCATAAATTTCAGGAAGGGGTGAAAGGACAAACAAAGGCAAGCCAGTTCTCCCTCAGTCCTCCATCAAGGAGGTACATGGATGCTTCCCACAAACAGGGGTCAAATCACCAAACGAGGATACAATCCATAATTCTTCCTCCCTGAATGTTTCCTTTCTGACAGATGTTCAGCTGAATAAACTTCCCAAAGCGACTTGAGTTGTTGTTGTAAACAGTCTTTGCATTGCCAAAAGCTTCCATAATTGGACTGTGAAGACAGAGAACGACAGGAGTTAACATGTGACCAGCATGCCAACAGCTTCACATGAGGCTGGTGGAAGGAACAGCACTCTGACAAGCTCCCCTCTGACACTCCCCTCAGCAGCAGCCTACATCCCAGCATTACCCTCCATTTAGAAATGGGCATCTTGGTTGCCTAGCAGAAGATGCAAGTATTCATGCAACAGGAAGATAAATTATACTGAACTGCTCTGCATCTGCAGAATAGTAACTGCTACTTGCTACTTCTTTTGTAATCACTCAAAAGATGCACACAATTCTCATGGCAGTACTCAAATGATAGAAATAAGAAATCTCAGCACATGCAAATTTCTAGACAGATGTAAAGAGTCCTTGTCCTACGGCAATTAAAAAAAAAACAAACTACATCAAGATACAGCACATACAGCAGAGATGAAGTTAGATAAACTACAGTAACAGCATCTCAAATTGCCTTTGTTTTTAAATAGTTTAGAACTGTGTCATTTCACATGAACACCAAGATTTATTTTTTGCTTGTGTAGATTGTGTCCAATTTATCTGATGCATTCACTCATCTGCCTTATCAGTTCTCCATATCCTCCCTTCCCTCAGCATGCTTTTACCACTTGAGTGCTTTATCCTCACCATGCTGTTTCTTGTTCTACTGTATCCTCAGGCTACACAAACTGAACCAAAGGTTTCTCCCTCCCATCACCCATTTCCCTTACTCTGATTATCTGAATTCAGCTGCAAACAAAAATGAAAGCTACTATTAAAGCTTCATCCATTTCAAACCTCTGCATATTTTTGCTTCCCTAAGAGATACCACTGTGCTCACAACTCTCTAGAGCAGCCAGGTAATTTTGTTTAATGGAGTATTTCCCTTTGTACAGGATACATTTTACTGTTCAGTAAACATACACACATTTGACTACATTGCAGGCTTTTATTTCAATGTCAAGGCTTATGTCTTCTGAAAAAATTACCCATATATTGAAAGATCCAATACCTGCTCTCAAGAATAGCTTGCTCCACACAGGAGCTCTTCTCTCTGGAGGACATCTCCAGTGAATGTTGGCTCATTGCAGACAAGAACTTGAGAATCAGCTTAGTGCTCTCCGTCTTACCAGCACCACTTTCACCACTGAAAGAAGAGGAGGAAATGGTTTGCGCAGTCCCAGTGGCTGGCCACCCACCCAAACTCTACATTCCTGGAGGTCAGGAGGACTGGGGTGATTAGAAGTGATGGTCAAATGGAGCCAGAACACCCCATTAAACTTCCTGAATATGACATCTAGGGGAAAACACAAGCTGTCCTTAAGCTTCGTACCACTGCTCAGACAGCATTTCAAGGCACTGACTGCACATGTACATACACCTAGGAGGCAATGAAGAGCTCTCTGAAGGCAAACAATTATCCAGCACTTCCCACTATCATGTTAAAACAAAGTCACAACAAAGGCATGGCAATCGACAAGCATAAAGACCAAACTAAGAATTAAGATGGGAAAGTTTGGGATACATTGCAGCAATCTATTTAATGAAGGAGCCCTGCTGTGAGGAGAAGTTAGAGACACCAATGCACACTCTAACACATAAAGGCTACTCGTACAATTAATGCTGAAATTCTTAGCAAGCTACATACTCTTTAAACAAACTTTTTATATACCTATTGAAACAAACCAGAAGCATGGGAGTTCAAAATATACAAGTTCCACCTCTCATTACCATCAGAGGTATAAACCTCTCATCACCACCCACAGGAGAACAAAGCCATTTGATAATGCTAAATTGATATTTTAAAAACAAACTGTTAATAAGCAGCCCTGCTGATACAAACAAAAGGCAATATACTCAGTTTCTCTTCAAAACTAACACTCTAAAAATGGGAAAGTTTAGCTTTGGCTCATTTCCCCAGTACCTTTTCCCTTCAATTATATAGTCTAAATACACACTGTGAGCCATTTAAAAATGTAACTTGTGGGTAAAGTTTGTCTAGTTTGCTCACTCTTCATCTACAGTCATAGATTGTATCCTAAGCTGTGGCCTAGCTCCTCATTAAACTGTACCTCATTCCAGTTTACTCCCAAAGAAAGAGGGTACATTTTGGTCTTACTTCACCTTTTCCATTGTAGCAAGCAGGAATTCTGTCACTGACTTTGATGGAGCACAACCGTGGAGCAAGCTTAGATAATTTGACAGTCTTTTGTTGTGCCATTGCAGAGTAATGACCCCACTGACTTTAGCTTACAACATAGTATAATGATGCTTTCTAGTAAAAAACAAAGAAGAAAGGTACCACCCAAAAAACCAGCACGACATTTTCCTGCAGATGAATATCAACAATAAAATTAGGGAAGAGACATTCAGAAAACATAATGAGACATCTTCATAACCGCCAATATGTTCCAGTAAGTGTGATTCATCCATTATATTTATACCACATCAAAGAAATTCTATAGTGTTTTTAATGTAATTTTACCCTTGATGTCTGGCCTTTTCAGATTTTGTCCTGGGGTGACTTTACGATGTTCGTGCCCCAAATTGTCTGCTCTGTTTATGCTGAATATTGAGTTCTGCACCTTTAAGACTGGCTCTGAGAGCAAGGGAAGGAAAGAAGAAGCCGCAGTTTGTGTTCAGAAAGAGCCCTCACTGCCCCACATCCTGCTCCTGGACTGTGTCGTCTGCAGCATGGACAGACAGCAGGACAGAGCTCTCCTTTGCTTTAGTTTTTAGCTGGCTGAGGCAGAGAAGTTCCCTGGACTGTTTTTTTCCTTTTTTCTTGGAACTGGTCAGCCCTGCTCTGGACTGAACACCCAGCCAAACCCCAGGAGCTCACACCTGTGGCCCACCGGGGCCTGGGCCTCGGCACTTTCCAGCGCCGAAGGGACTGATAAGAGACCGAGTGAGCCGAGTTACACCATATGAAAAGGTCTTATCTGGATTTGCCATCTCTTCAGAACAGCAAGAAGTTTTATTTTTTAATATTATTCATTTTTATGCTTGTAAATACTTTGCTTGTTAGATGAACAGGTTTTTTCCATTTTTCTCCAAGGAAATCTTTTACCAAACTAGCTGGGGGAATGGCCACTTGAATCTCCTTTCTAGAGGGACCCCTTTGGAAGTTTCCTCCCAAATTTGCCCTAAACCAGGACAGTACTCCTTCCCTTTCTCTTTGCAGGTCCGCACTCACTCATCTCTCCTGCCCAAGAAGCAAATACTTGGTATTCCTGCATTCAATACTCACCATAAAAAACCATTTCTACTGGTAGTTTTGAGAGCTTCACAAACTCTTGCATTATTCTTGTCTAGTGCAATAAATCATCATCTGATACACACCTCTTCCTGCCTAATTCTCTCCCTCTGAGACATGCATATAGCTCAACAGCAGGCACAGAGTGACATTGAGGACATCACCTCTTTCACTGATACCATCCTTCCTCTGCCCCCACCCACTGTCCCTTGATCTGGAGAATCTGTAGTTCTATAGAAGCTGAAAGTTACCCCACTGTAACTGAGAGCCATTCTACAAGTGAGATAGTCAAAGTCGATGGAAAAATATCTCCTGCACCTCTCTCTGGTATAGCTGGTGTTATGCACAATTACATGCTCTTGTTTTTTTCTTGGAACAGGAGAGACTCAGAACTGGTTCAGTTCTGAACCTGCCCTGATAGTTGCCAGTTAGAGATGCCCGTGGAAGATATATGATTATATCCCTTCTGTGTTCTTCCAGCTTCCAGTTATTTGCTGTTCAGAGGCTTCCTGATCTAAACCTGGCTTTTATGTCTTGTAACCCTCAGTATACTTATCTTCTTTGAGTTTCTAGCCATACTCCCTTAAAAAGCAAATGGTCTTATTTTTTTCAGATTGACCTCCTAATACTTCATTTGATACCTCTCAGGTCTCATGGTGGAAGGAGAAACCAACAATTTATCCTGGTACTCTTTCTGCTGTGCATGACTTGATGGTTAGTGCCCCAAATTCAAGGTGCCTGTCTCCATTAGCTATTTCCCATGTTATACTTTTTTATTACTTTTTAAAATTTTCCTCTTGGAAACATCTTCAGCTCCACAAAATTTAAAGGATGCATTTACACAATGTTCTCTATGCATTTAGTAGTAACCACTCCATTCTATTCAGTTTTACCATCACATGAGATCAGTCTTTCAGAGTCCTTAGAAAGTTTACACCTACAAGGTCAATAAAGGGTGAATTATTTAGAGCAACCTTCCAGAAACCTTTCCAGCCCATGAGTTTAAGTGCCCAGCTTGTTCCACATCACTACATTCAGGACTGTGAACATATTAAGTCTGACAGCAGGCCAGAAGGCCTCCACTCAGAAGATCTTTAGACTTTCTCCGTGTCTCTCACTTGTTCTATGCAGGGCTGATGGCAAAGCAGCCTGGACTCGTGACCGCCACAGTGTAACTGTGACTCCTCATTCTGAAGGACATAACACTAAATCATTTCCCTGTTCTGTCTGGGTAAGAGATAGAACAGTCTGTAGTGGCTGATAATTTCCAGCACACCAAGGCACTGCTCCATGAGCACCTCTGGAACCCCTAACCCAGCTCCCGAGGGCCAAATGACCAGAAGCCCCACATGGGGAAAGAGTCCAGGAAGGTCAAAGGGTGAGACATGAACTGAGACATGTAGCCAGCATAAAATCAAACAGTGATTTCCCACTCACTGCACTGACTTGAATGTCATACAGAGCAATGGTTTGGGAGTGCTCTGATCAATTGCAATTTTCTTTGAGAAAAGAGCATGTGTTTGCTTCTGCACAGACTAGATCACCTTACACAGAGCAGCAAAAAAACCCCAAACCAAACCTAAAGATATCTTCCTATTCTTGTAATAAAGGCGTGGAGGTTTGAACTTGGTCTCAACTTGTGAACTTCTTTTAATCATGAGGGAGCTCAGCCCCTTTCCTACACCAGAACAAGCTGTTGGGCTATTGCTCAAATTAGATGGACTTCCTTCACGTTCCTGAGGCACCCAGCTGAAAAATCAGAAGATAGAAGACATTTTTAACGAAGTGGACTTTTTTCCGTCCTGTTTTAAGTTAAACTGGGCCCTGCAGTAATGGTTCAGACCAACAACAAACTGAGAATTCATTGATGCAGATGTTTTTGTCTACAGAAAAACTCTAGCTTTTTAGCCTGGGAGAGTTAAAACACCATTTCACAACTACGTAAACGCACCAGTCATGTACAGCTTCTTCAGTGTGCCGTTCTGTTGACATTTTAGGCTGCAAAGTCCTTTTTATGCAGCATTATCATGAATTAATGACTGTTACACACACCAGTATATAAGCATTTTGGGTGATTCGATTTATCATCTCTTCTGTATTTCCTTCCTGTTCTCCTCTGACCTGGATGGTCATACTGGAAAAAATGGTCTCACATTTAAATTATATTCTGATTTTTTCTAATTTGTGTTCTGCAATTCACCCTCTCACCCTACCCCAGCAAGAAAAATATCCCTATATTAATATTTCAAACCACTATAAGCTTTTTCACAGGTTTTTGAACCCGAAGCATGAAGAAAGCAGCTCCAAACCAAAGCTGAGCTAATTCTGGGGGCCAGCAGAGGGCACTTCAAGTCCAGAGGATCATCAGCATTCCCAGTGCGTTCCTTTGTGGGGCTGTTACAATTTGCTGCTGAGGCCAGGAGCAGCTCAAACTGCCTATCAGAAATGTGAGACCTATCCGACTAATTCCCTCATTTTGACTACTGTGTTTTCAAGATACAACAGAATTTTCCTCTATCTCTCTATTCTAAAGAATTTTCCTTTATCATCTCTCACATTAAATGCAAGACCAGAATATTTGTCTGAATTCAAACACTAAAGAGCCTCACTTGGCTACTTTCTTTTTCAAATGCTAGTAGTAACCAAGAAAGTTACAGTGACAGTACAGTGACTTATTGCAACATCTAATTCTAAGCCAGTAAAAGATGCAGGAATGACCTGGATGCTCAATTTTCCAAGCACACTCTTCAACCTCCATTTCCTATGCCCTAAACTAGGTATGTGACAACAGGGACTTTCCTAAACTGTAGGAAGGCCATGGAAACCTTCAGTAATTTTATAAAATCCTATTCTGAGTCCTTCATAGATAAAGCAGATAATGCTCTTTTAGGAAAGCAGATTTGGCAAATTTTTTTTAATCTAAATTGCACGTTTCCTCAATTTCTGCAGTAACAAGATACTCTTATACTATCTGAAACACAGAACTTACACAAATCACTATTTCAATCCATGACCACAGTAAACAATTTTAAAAGGGATTCCTAATACAAAACTTTCTCCATATTATGGCTTATCTGTATCAAAGCACATGGTTTACAGAGCACAGAGTGCTGAAGACTCCCCTGGAACATCACAGACTTCTGCTTATGTCCATTTTAGGACACAACCTCCCTTCCTCTTGGCAGCTTGTGAGGAACTAGAATGAAAGGTAATATACTGAGGCTAGTACAAAATGGCAAAAATACCAAATGGCCACCAGAAATTGTTTTGGTCCCTAGATTTGTGTAAACGGGCTGTTCACAAGTAACTGCCTGGCAATAAAAAACAAACTCATGACTTGAGGCTAGCTATTGTCACATGACAAAGAGCTCTGTAAATTTAATTTTTGCTTGGACTCTTACCTGAACTCATCTTTATATGTACAGAAGTAAGTATTAAGCAATAAGAAGGAGAAATACAGTTAAAGAAAGCTAAAAAAACACGTTTCAGCTTTGTGTCATTGCAAAGCAGAACCTGCCTAGAGGCAAAGGCAGGCAGGCACTGTGACCTGAGAGCCTGCAGAAAGTTGCAAGCAGGCCTGGCTATGATGCAGCTTATCCACATTTCTAACAACAGCTTGGGTGCTGAACTACATACACCAAATCCCCCTCTTATCCATGAAGCCTTGCAACCTGGGCCATAATCTGAAATGTCAGTAGAAACTGCCTATTGCAAAAGGTGCTGCTCTCACTCTGTCCCACCATCTGCCCCATGCTCTAGTCAGTTCCAGCACCACAAGGGTTCCTTGGGAGGTCAGGAGACAGCCAAAATCATGTCAGCATGCGCCTGAAGAGCTCTACACGTGTAACCTCATGGTGCAGGAAGGTGACAGCAGGTAGGCCTAATCACACAAATGTTGTGTAGGCAAAGGAGGAGAGGGAGGGGAAACACAAGGTCTCTTACCCCTCTGAGCATCACCCCCTGCTTGGAGCCCGGTAGCTGGTGTGATGCTGCAGTGACCTGCTCCTCCCTGTCTGGTGGGCCAGACTCTGGTCTCCCTGCCTGTGTGTGAGCCAACACAGCTGAGCTGGCAGGCTGGGGAATGGGAAAAGAGCTGGCTGCATTTTCAGCTCTTCTGGAGCCAGAAGGAAGGAGGAGCTGAAAGCAGTGAAAAGCTATTGAAATGCCAACTGCTCCCTAACGCACACTCGGCCAGAGACAGATCCTGAATACCAGTGACACAGTGGTTCAAATGGGAAGCTATTAAATCACCATTAAATTAAAGCACAACAAGATTAAGTAAGGAAGATTAATCGGGCAGAATTAAGTGGCTGAAATGTGGAGGGGTTTCTCTTTTGCTATTCTTATTTACTGCATATCTCAAGAACTGGTAGGTTAACATTTTCTTTTTCTCTCTGTACAGAATCAGGGTCTAGTAGTGACAAATTACTGCACAGAGATGTTTAAACTGGTGGAAAAACACTTAGGGTAACATCTGATGTGTGAAGACCAAAAAACGCACAAAAATACAGCATATTCTTTTTACTAAATATAATTGTAAGATGCATTAAAAAAATTAATGTTTTGTTAGAGGTGCACAGAATGACACAAAACAATTTCAGAACTCTCTTGAAACTGCTGTTTTACAAGCCTGCTTTCTTTCGGAGTTCTCCTCACATGGCCAGCAGCCATGCTGCCACATCCCCTTGAAAGGCTCCCCATCAGGGGCACCCAAAGCAGCAGCAGCAGCAGCCAGCACTCACCTGATGAGGATACACTGGTTGTCGTGGCGCTTCCAGAGGCAGCGGTAGCACTCGTTGGCCACGGCGAAGATGTGGGGCGCGATCTCTCCCATGTGGTGCTTGCTGTATCGCTCCATGGCGGCGCAGTCGTACAGTCCCGGGATGCTCTTGTAGGGGTTCACGGAGGCAACTATCGAACCAATGTAGGTCTGCAAGCACACAGCACCCCCCAGAGATGTTACCACGTGTGGGGTGGAACAGATTAACGCTCTTCTCAAATGATAGACAAAAGACACACGTTTGCAAAACTGTAACAATCCTTTGGATAAAAGTGGCCAGTAATTTTTCCTGATTTCTTCCTTTCAAGAAAAGCAACAAAAGGGTGAAAGTTCTTCCCACCTCTGTCATGTTCTCAGGCTTACTCCACCTATAACACTGAGCTTATTGACTGTACAAATCCCTGCCTTAATGCTGCCTACAGCTGCATGGTAATGCCTATCAGCACTGGCCTACAGCTGCTTCTCATGTGTCCTTAGGGACTCGCTGAAACCCAAGTAACTGAGCCCAAAGTAACGGTGGAAAAGTCTGTATTTCCATGTAGAGAATCCAAGTCCTTCTCTGCCACTCACTTTTAAAACAGAAGTATCAGGCATTATGGTAGACACTAGAACCATTATATTTAGAATAGCAGGCTCTAAGAAAAATGTGTGAAGCGGCAGATGCTCCAAAAACACTGACTTTCTGCCACATTTTTAATATTAGTTGGATGCAGAACAGCAGCTGGCAAGTCATTAATTTCTATCCCACTGCAATTAGAGAGCACATCAGTTAAAACCACCCAGGTAGCAGCTTATGCCCATTCCCATTGCCTTAACTCATTAGGCTGTGGTAACCTGATCATCTGCAACAGTCTGTTCACAATGCTGTTCAATTTCTCTCTCACCCTCTATCCACTTCAATATATTTTCCTAATAAAAATCACATTAAATGAGGTAGGAGATAACATTAAGCATGCTATCTCCAGAGTTTCTGGGGCATGCAAAATTAATTAATATACTGTATGGCATGTGCAGTGTTACTGCTGCAATACCAATTTCATTTTGTTAAACACCCTTCCTGCGGTTACAGGCAGGAAGCTGACACCTGGCTTCAACAGCCCAGCTCTGGACTGGTGAAGAGCCAGCCTGGGCAGCCTCCAGCCCTGTAACACAGCCCCATGTACAGATGCCTCACCAGCAGTCAACCCTCTCATTGCCGACAGGAACCAGCTGTGGAGCTGACAGCAGGACTGGGGCTCTCTTCATCTCCACAGCACCCTAACCAGAGGTGGATGGATAAGGGGAGCAGCATCTTGCAAACCACCGAAAGGCAGCCGCATGTGCTCCTCCTGCAGCCTCCTTCTCTAAGACAGGGCATTCACTAAGACAAAGGGACCATCAGTTCCCCCACACTTTCCCCTCTGTCTCTTTTGCAGCGTTTGCAGCCCGCAGCATCTACCTGCCTCCCTCTTTTTCTCCTTAATTAACATGCAATTAAGGCTGTGTATCAGCTCTCCTTTCTCACTGTTACGCTGCTGTTACAGTCCCCATTATCCACCTGTTCACCCTCCATCAGGCCCGACACACATTGCAGCTTTGAGCTTTTGCTAAGGGAACTGCAGTGGTGTCCTTGAAATCATGACATTGTATCAGCAGTAAGGGGAATATCCCTCCGCACTGCATCTCTAGTACCTTTTACAGAGTGGTGAATTTTCAATGTGTTTTATAACACCACCCCTCCACCCCCACCCCACGTGCTCTGTGCAAGAGCTCAGAAGATTTCATCTAGAGGAGAGATACCATTTCAACATGAGATCGTATCACAGGGCAATTACAGCATAGAGACAACAGCTTAATTTCCTAGGATCATCCCCTCTTGGATTCTTAAATAAGTAATAAGTAACAAGGAATGCTCTGAAAACAAACTTCCTCTGTTTGATACATATTTTAGCACAAATTGCACATGGAAAAAATTTAAGAGTCTTCTTTTTTTAATTACACGACTGCAGTACAAGTATGACCAATAAAAGAGGCTGCTACAGATCTTCCTCTTTCCCTTTATTAAAGTCTGGCTGAAGTCTTTGGAAAAGAGTAACTTGAGGCATGCCATCACAACAGATGCCATGGCAAAGATGAAAATATAAAAATCCCCATGAAACATGATACCATCTAACTTCACAAGTAAATAATCACTCTATAGCTTCTGCAAGATTCACTACCTGACAGAACAATATCCCCACAATAAAGCACTGGCAAAACTGCATCACCACAATCTACACATTGTGACTTTTCTTGCTTCTGTGCTAAACAGTAAATATCAGAAGAAGTGACAGCAGTCTACTTCTGCATACACTCATTTAAAATGGGGCAGTCTTTCACATGACTTAAGCACAGTTTTTTTAAAGTGACAGAAAGACTTCCAGAATATTAGTCATAACCGTGAATTTTAAAAGTTTATTAAATAAAGTGAGCTGGATTCATTGCCTAGTAATTCAATAAGCTATAATAGAAAAATGGGTGGTGTATTATGGCAATAAAAGAAACCCAGTGAACTGCAGAAACGATACTGATGAAAACAATTTCTGAATCACCTCATGGAGTAATGCTTAGGACATGTCACCGTTTAAAAAAATTCCTTCTCTCTTTTTCTTTCATCAAAAACGTGAGGAACCACAGCCTCTACTGATAAAGGTGCAGCTTTGTGGTTCCATTCTTCTGGTGCTTTAAGTATGTACTACCTGCAAAGTCAGGACAAGTTAAATGAATGCACAAACTGCCACCAAATTATAATGGCATGTGACAGAACAAACTCAGGACTTCAAAGTACAATTTCCTCATCCCAAGGCACAATCATGAAAAAAGTATATTCTTCAAAGACACAGTTTATCACATTTATCACCTGCCAGATGTTACAGTTCAACCCAGGGGTAGCCACAACCAGCTTAGTCTGCACAGACTAAGGTGTTAGCTGGCACAAGCAAAACTTCTGTCTTTACCCAAGGTAGTTCAGCAAACTATCAATGGGCTGAAGCAGCACTGTTATTAAAAACTATTCGATTATTTTAAAAGTTCACATTAAAAGACAAATCTTCCAGAAGTCTTTGTAAATTGCCTCTGGGATACACAACTGCAGCAAGATCTGCTGCTGCAAGCATCATTTCCTACATCACTTCCAGGCTTATTACTTATCCCATCCAGTACCTATCACAAGGTCTTACTAGTAGCAGTATTTTATAAGCAGTAGATTCTAGACTCAACCCTGGCAGCTCTAAGAGCCACAAAGTTAGGGATTTGGGGGAGGGGGATACATGTACTCCCATGAAGAATGCTCCCAATTTCACAGAATCACAGAATGGCATCGGTTGGAAGCAGAGCAAAGTTCATGTAGTTCCAACACCTCTGTCATGGGCAGGGACACCTTCCGCTAGAACAGATTTCTCAATGCCCCATCCAATGTGGCCTTTAACACTTCCAGAGATTGGGCATCCACAGCTTCTCCAAGCAGACAGTTCTAGTGTCTTCACCCTCATAGCAACAACAAATTTCTTCGTAATATCTAACATAAACATACTCTCCTTCAGTGTGAAGCCATTCCCCCTTGTCCTGTCAGTACGTGCCCCAGTAAAAAGTCCCTCTCAATCTTTCTTGTAGGCTCCTCCACTTGCCCTTCCTTGGAGACCCTGAGCAGCCACACAACACAACCCCTTTCCTGCAGGGTAGACCTTCTGGTTTGGCAAATGCAAGCATCTTTGCAGCAGGTTAAATCAGTGCAAAAATACACAAAAAATGCAGGACTGCTTAGTGGATGTGTGTTTTCTCCTGAACACAACTTCTGCACCAGCCATCATCATATGGCAAATTAAATGGGTTAGCAATCGAAAGCAGGATCTCTAAATACTATATTATATGCCAACATCCCAAAGCAGGTGAAATTTCAGAAAAGGTATTTTCACACAAGAATTACACTTCCACTTTTCTTGTAAGACAGTTACCCAAATTTTTGTTTTGTTCTTTGTAGTTTCTAATCTTATTCTGGAAGTCAATAATTACTTATTTTAATGAAAGCATTCAAAATAAATTATGAATAGGATAAATACTGCCAGAGCACTACCAAGCAGACAGAAGAGTTCTGAAGATTTCCAGTTGAAATAGTTTGAGAGTTTTTTCAGAGATATACCGTGAGAACTTGCGTTAGAAGTGACTCCTTAAATCCATGGCAATGAACAGGGCAGTTTACCATTCCCTGTTATATGACTGACTCAATGCTCCAGACAGAACCACACACAAACTCCTGAACTACTTTGGTACAGACTAATCCAGCAACAACTTGTTATCAGATTACTGCTGATGTATTTATTTAAACCAGAGAATAAATGAAGGTTGGGTTACTCAGCCTGAATCCCAGTGTAGCACTTTGATTACTGTATTAGAGGTTGGGTTCCTTTTTCACTTTCAAACTTTTACTGGAATTGTTAATTCACCTTCTAAAACAACTTCACTCACAAGCCACAGACACTCCTGCTCGCCCTTTCAGCAAAAAAGAAAAACAAGATTGTTTGCTGATCCTCTACAAGGACTTTAAAAATTAGAAGTTCCAATCCTATCTTCTCAGCTAGACATTGAGTAAGGCTAGACAAAATGGAAGATGTACAGCTCACAAAGACTGCTGATACCCAGAGAAATACTCTAGCAAAACTATATTTAGTCAGAGCAGTCTTGTCCATCATGAGACGGTGTTTGTTTTTTTTTTAATAAAGATGCAATCAATTTATTATAGTTTGATGCCAAAAAATCTAAATGACATACAAGGTTTTATTGATCCAAATACACTTCAGTGTATTTTACACTTAGAATTACAAGAAAAAAGTTTGCAGTGTATGAAAGAAATACAGTTTGAAATGTCTTACTTTCCCATGTAGAAAAGGCTTTCAGACTAAAAGAGAATAAAGTAGAGTAAGGAATTTCCCCCTCAATTATTTTTTCAGATTCTCTACGATGAAAAAGCAACGAAAAAGAAAACTGTCCTAACAGAAGACCATTATAAAACAAACTATAAAACAAACATACTGAATACACCAGAGCCACCCTGCTTTTCATCTTTTGCCCTTCACATATGCTTTTTAGAATTTTGGGGTATATCTTTTCAGGTTTGTTCCATGTCCAGCAACCAT